TGCTAATGGACCCTTCTTAATTCTTTCCCTGTCTTATTTCGCTCTACTGCTGCTTCATTGCCAACTCAATTGGTGGAGTGTGGGTGAAGTTTTTGGGGTTCAGAAAAAGAGTAATCAATATTGCTCTTTGCTTTGCAGTTATCTAAAATCCTATTTTTAACTTTTTTAAATTTTAAATGTCTGTTAGTTAGGATTTCAGAGTTAGTTCGTTGTATTTATTAGTTGGAAGTAATCAAACAAAAAGTGATGACAACTCCATAAAAATTCTTTTTATTTCAGTATTATTTAATTGCAGACTAATTTATTTTTTTTGTCACACATTTTATTTATAGAAATTTCTTTAATTACACGATCTTTGATGAAGCTTGGGGTCTTCTTAAGCCACACTACAAACTTTGCAAGGGTGTGAGCTTTTTACCTCACAAAACAACAAAATAAAGAAATGTCCTAACCATAATGTGATCGTTAGTTGCATTTGTTGAGAATTGTAAACTCTAATTCTGGATCAACAAAAGCAATAAAATCGCAATAAAAAATAAACACCCAAAAACATTCAAGATTTTATAGAGTTTCTCCTCAATGTGCGATAATGAAAAGAATTTTCTAAGAGAAAACTCACGCATCTTATTTTCTCTAACTTCTCTTTCTTTTTATGATGATAACAACTCTCTATTTACAAGACAAATTAAAAAAAAAAAAAATTTGAAATTGTAAGTGTGAAATTCCTAAATTATTCTTAGTGAAATTACAAATGTCGATTCGCGTACCGACTCTGCACAGAGACATTAATTAGACTCGACAATTTAACAACATCGTGCATGAATAGGCGGGTTCCTGCTCGGACGACATTTAAACAAAATGATTCAATCATGGTGATCTCAAGAAGATGATCATGCGAGAAGACTAAACCCAATTTGAAATTCTTGTTTTTGTAATTTTAAGTAATTAGGTCTGTGCGCCTTCCTGCAGGCTTTGGCACATGAAGGAAGGAATCTGCAATGGTCCCATATGCCACATGCTCTTAAGGATTTTTCACTATAAAGTATTAATTCACGTGTCTTCTCAGCCTACATTCAGGACCTTTAAGACTTGAATTGCATAATCAAGAATGAAAAAAACTTACTTTCATTTTTGTTTTCATACCAACAAAACATTCTTAATTAATTCAAGTCATCAAGAACTGCAGACGAGAAAAAAATGAATGCAATCAGTCCAACCTTTCAAATTCATGACTAAAATACCTAAGGGCTCGAGCTCGTGGGTCACCTTATTTCTATATCTAAAATAAAACAAAAGCCACGATCTACGTCCTATAATTTTACTATAATATCACTCAAAATAGTTTCGTTAGATTTATGTGCAACAACGAGAGCCAAAATTTACTCGAATTTACACATATTACTATTCGAGCATACGAGGCAACTTCCTCGTTCAATGTTATATATGATTTTTGGTTTACTTTGTTCTTCCAATTGCGAAATGTCAATTACATAATTAGCCCTTACCTAATATTGGATAAAGAGGAAAACATCCCATGTGCTTTTATCGACATAATGGAATGATGAATTATTAAGACATGAAGCCGGCAAAACACACGAGACATGTATTCTTATTCATAATCCAAAAAAACATATTACGTGTGAACAACTATGGTATGGAATGTACGATACAAATGAATGTGCAATGATGGAAAGAATATACTTGTTTGCTTAGCCCTATTTGAGCTCTATTCTTTAAAAATGCATTTTTTTTTTAAATTCATTTTCAATTAGACAGTTCTCTAATAAAATTTTCCCGTATGTTCAATTTTTTTTCTTTTTTAATCACATATTCTCCAAAAAATCACTACGACAAAGTCTATTTTCTCAAAAAATGGGTCTCATGTACAAATCCTTAAATGATTTACTACATATTAATCCACAAATTAAGTTGTGATTATTATTGTAACAAAGACATCTTTGTTCGTAGAAACCAAAAGTGTTCATTCCTCTTCCAAACCAAAAAAACAAAAAAAAATCTCATATTAATTATTGTTGAAGTTATTTTTCTATTATAAGAGAAGGTAAACAGGTGAAAACGAGGGAGTAGCCTATTTTTGGCTCGTGTTTATGAACAGTCAAGTTACCTTTTATTTATATTTTTCGAGAAATTCACAAATATTATCAACTTATTTATCACTCTTTTCTATTAATTTATAGTTTAAATAATTTATAAATAGTTCCCTTGCTCATTGATAATAGAACTGTAATGCCACGAAGACTTTGGGATCATCCAGTGGCTTAGCAGACCAACCCAATGAGCCTATTTGCGATGTCATAAGAGGAAATTACATCCAAGTCTGTTTTCAATCAAATTTAACATTTCATAAATTAGGTTATAGTTATTTATTTAATATTACTAATTAAATTAATTACGTCTCATTCTCTATCTACTCTCTCTCTCTCTCCTCTCTCCCCAACTCCGGCATAATGATATTGGAGGTAGTAGTGGTCACAAATTATTTGGTTTATAGTGATCAATAAATTGATTAATGTATGATCAATAAATAATATGTGATCAATAAAATAGATAAATTGTAACCAATGGTTGACATAAAAATCGGACAAATTTTGACTAATGATTTGATAATTTGTGACCGTAAAATAAGTCGTAATTTATAAAATTTATGATTTATAACTGATAAATAAATTGTGAGCTATAATTTTTTTGATTTGTGATCGTGAAATAGTTTGTGACCAATTAATTCAATAATTCTTGACCAAATTATACAAAATTGTGATCTTAATATATTTAATTAATTAATTCATAAATAAAATTTAATTAACACCTGATTTTTAAAATCTTAAACTTTATTTCTTAATTTTGAAATGTGTTATAGTTAATCCCTTAAATATAATTTTTTTTCCTTTGTAAACCCACATGATGCCCAATATATCTTTTTGGAATGACCTAAGAAATGGACATATTATTTCCTTTACTGTTAGTATAAGCAATCAAAATTTTGAAGACCAAATTCAACTCGATTTTTTTTTGCTAAGCATCATATTTTTAGCATAATTTTTATCAATTTTTTTTAGCTAAACCTATTAGAAGCTTAGTGACAAACGAAACAACTTTTTGCCATTGGGTCTGGCCCCTCACAAGGTTGGTTTATAAGATACTTTATTGTTAATGTGGGATGTGTTGTGAAAATTGTTGTTTAATTTTAGAGATGACAAAAAAATTCTTTAAACCTGATATCCTTGAACCCCGTCATAATCAAGTGGGGATTACCTACTTAATTGAGTATTCGGATCGGGGTCGGGGGGTGAGTATGGGTAATAAGGGCCTCGTCCCGCCCTATTCTGTTTAATCTTTATTTATTTTTTAAAAAAATTAATACTTTTAATAGAAAATTTCACTAAATTTCATTCGTTCTAATATAAGATGGCAACTAAAATGAATATGACAGTCAATAAAAACCTTCATTTATCAAATATATTTGAATAATTTAACTTTAATTAGTAAATATATTTTTGTCTTACTTTAATGAATAGGGGCAATAAAATAAATTATTAAAAATTGAATTACAAAAAAGAGAAGGTAAACTGAGCAGGGCAAGCGAGGTTGCGCAGACCCGACCCTTCCCGTTGCCATCCCTATTTCATTCCTTGTAACAAAGTGTCACACATATTGGCGTTTATAGCGATATTGTATCAATTGTCTACGTGGTTGATTCGTAGTATGTCCATTTTCCTTTCGTATATTGTTCGTGATGATATTGCTTAGCTCTTTATTGACTTTCTTTAAAACAAAATAATTTATTTCCCATACTCATTTTCATCGACCTCCGATAGCTGGTGTACGATTGAAATACCTCATGGACCATGTTCACGGTGGTTGTTCTTGATTCCTTTTTATCTAGCCAAATTTCGATGACATTTCATTTTTCAAATGGTCGGACACACTTTTACGAAAATGTAAGATTGTGATTAGAGAAGCACCAAACAAAATGGTAAATTTAGAGGTTTAGGAATTTATAAGTAATAGTTTCTCAATAATTGATCATGTTTCAGCACACAATTTAGTTATACAAGGGTGATAGTGAGATGAGTGATTAGAATTTTTTGGAACTGAAACAAAGGATGGACAATTGGGGGGCATAAAGAAGTATATGGAACCATGAAGTCGCGTTTCACAAATGGCAAGTTTGGCAAGTTTGATGATTCAGTTGAGTTTTAAAATGATCGTAACTTGCCATGCAAGATTTTCGTGCAACACGTCAACGGTAAGGAAAATTGATTTTGACGAATGATGGATGGAATATAATGTTTCAAAGATGAGTGATCATTGCGGAGTAATTTTGAGTTTGCTAAGCCCCTGTCTAGTCCCCATAA